AGAAGTGCTGTGCACATGTGCCAGGTCTCTACGAAGAATGTGACCATCATGTACCACAAATATTTACAAATATATGAATGAAGGGGTCGAAGAGATGCAAGGAGCAGGGGAAGAGACAAGTGGGGGTTAAAAAGTTAATGTCATGTACACGTACCGACTCCCCACAATGAATACAATCACTATATACTACAAACATGTACTGATAAAAAGAACTGAAATACACCAAAATGGTGGTTTTACTATTTGAACAATCAGTTATCAAATTCTTAAACTGGTGTTTTTCTTTTGAAAATAGCAGTGATTAGTAATTACCAGCACTGTAAACATATGCCTGACCAGCATTATATTTAGTGTATCTCGGCTTCAGCAAGGAATCAATTTCTGTATGATACTATCCAACAGATAAAAAGGAGAAATGAGTGATGGAATTGCTGTGTTTTCCTCCAGAATTTGGAATTCCAACATGAAGTTATTCAGGAGATCAAACATTACTTTTACTGATAAAGAATATGTCTTTTGATCTACATATTTTTTTTCCTCTAGTACCCTGCAAGTTATCTTGGACCTTTAGAGACCATTTTCCTTCGGAACTTGTTAATTTCTCAGGTAGCTATCCTATTTCTACCTAAAGTTGCCTTTCTAGTGTCAGATTCCTTTCATTTTTGAAGCTTTATCAGGCTATTACACTGATGAGTCACATACTTCCACATTTGTGTCACAGATTGTTTAACAGCCAAATAAATGCAAACTACATTAGGAACTTTGGAAACTGAAGATCAAGAGACTAGAACTGGTCTGATGTGTTTTGTAAGTGTCTCTTTTCACTATGATACATAGTATTAACAATGGATAAAGACAGAAAAAGTACTTGCCCAACATCATACAACCATTATTTAATTTGGTATGACTTCAAAGACAAAGCACAAAACCATTACTGAGGAATTTATCATGAGAGCTAAACCTAGTTCAGCATGGTGGACCACACCTGTATTACCAACATTTTGGGAGGCTGAGGCACAAAGATCCCAAGTTTGAGCCCAGTCAACGTAGCAACCTAAGAGCTTGTCTCAAAAATAACATAAGGGTGTATGTGTGCGAATGCAGCTCAGTGCAAAGGCCCTGGTTCAATCCCAGGGGAGGAAGGGAGAAAGGGAGGAAGGGAGGGAGAGAAGTGGGGGAAAGGAAAGGTGGGAAGGGAAAGGTGGGAAGGGGTGGAGAGAACAGTGAGAGTGTGACTGCTAAGGTTCATTTTTACTCTGCTAGTTACTGTGATATGAACAGATTTCTTAACTTTTCAGATTACTTTTCTGTAAAATGTGATTATCATCTCTGTAGGATTACTGCAAAGAGGAAATGTGTCAGTAAGTAAAATGCTTAGCACAGCACCCACCATAAGGATTCAATGACCTGTATTTACTGTTATGTCCTTGCTATTTTTGCAGAGGTGTGTCTAGGAACCAGATGACTATTAAGGAAAAAAAAAAAAAGTCAACACAACTGGATATTATACAACCTAAAATAGACTTACTTAACTTTTAGAGCAACAGACAGCTTCACTGTCTTTCACCCACATTTTTATTTTCAGTCTAATCTTTATTACTTTCTTCTGTTTGATTTTTTTTTTTTTTTTTTTGCAGTATCAGGGATCGAACTCACGACCTTGCACTTGCTAGGCAGGCCCTTATGCCACTGAGCTATATCCCCAGCCCTTCTTGTTTGCTTTACATTTAATTTTCTATTGTGTTTTAAGGTTGAAGGTTAGACTACTGATGTAAACACTTCTTGTTTTTTCTTTTGAGACAAGGTCTCACCATGTAGTTCAGGCTGGCATTGAACTCACAGCAATCCCAGCTCAGCCTCCTAGTGCTGGGATTATAGGCGTGTGCCACCACTCCCACCAGCACCCAAACACCCTTTCCATAAGGAACGCGAAGAGAAGATAAAAAATGAGGCATGTTGCTTCTCCTTCTTGGTCAGATTCTCACATGTCTTAATGAAACACCATATAAGCACTCTTGTAATAAAATGTATTGTGTATTTATAAGGAGCTTTCAGTAAAATTTAAATCCTGATAGAAACAAGGAAAGTCAGTTTACTGAAAGATTTTTTTTTTTATTCTAAAAGAAACTGATCAGTGCAATCCTGTGGAACCAATGCTTGTTACAGAAATTGTTTTCAAAAGTAAATGAAAAAACCCCTTTTAAATTACTTATATATTAATTTTTGAAAACAAAAGTCATAGGTCTGCTTTGTTCTATTTAACTATAAATGCCACACATTTACAAAGGAAATCAAAGAAACGGACGGAATATGGGTTAAATGAAATTTTTCAAAGAATAAAACTGCTTCTCAGTCTACCGTGTTTTTGGTGCCGATTCTCATCAAGCCTGGATGAAAACTGTGAACCAAAAACGATGTTTCCTTATAGCAAAAAGAACATTTAAATTATTAGCAAAGTAACATCTTAAAATGTATCTTCACCCAGCTGAAATTTTAGTACAGTATAAACTTGTGTATCAACTCACTTTCCATTATTTTTTCTACTTTAAAAATATATACAACTATGATATCCAAATACGTAATCTGAGTCATTTGTCCAAACATAAATATTTGGGAAATTCAAACTGCTGCACAGATTATGAAAAGATTAAAAAAAAAGATGAGCTACAAATTATATAGTAGGAGGAAGAAATAAGGTTACTCAGCATTTACGTTTGGAGACACACACTTTCTAAATTATATAAACATAGACAGCCACCAAAATTTAGAACTACAAAAAGACTACACAAAGCCCACACTTTTTTTTAAAGAAAGGTCTTGCTATGTAGTTCAGGCTGGGCTTGAATTCTCAGCGATCCTCCTGCCTCAGCCTCCTGAGTGCTGGGATTACAGGCGTGTGCCATCATATCCAGCTACTTTTATCAATAACAGGTAACAGTGGTGATTTAAAGTATTATACCTTAATGTTTCCATGAGAAACTATTTGTGGTAACAGTCTAATGCAGTATTATTAAAGTCTGAGAGGCACAGATTAAGTGAGTGCACAATCTATACCAAATATGGCAAGATCTATACCTGACTTTAATTACGGCGTAAGGGTCTGAATACAATAGTCCATAGGCAACCAGAAAAAGACATTTCACATATGCCCATGCTTATCAATACATTAACATTAATGCCTGAAACCTTCAAATCTAAGTATGAACGGACGTTTCTAAAGCTCCAGGACAACTTAAATACAAGAACTGTAAAATCTTAAACTTCTTAATCAATTGATAAATGTTGAAGAAATAGCTATTTGGTCTTTAAGAATCTTAAAAGGGTTGAAAATATGTTCATCCCTTAATAGACTACTAAAGTATGTAAACCCCTTAATAGACTACTAAAATAGCCAGCATGGCAATTTGAATCCATTTTGTCCTTACATCTGTGTGTGTGCGTGCACACGCATTTTAAGATAGTTTAGAATTGAGACTTAACAACTAGTCAGTGACGGTTAAGAGGCCTGAACTGTTATTCAATCAAGGTCTATGGCATACGACAATCTTGCTCAGTACTCATCACCTTTGAGTGAAAAAGGGGGGATGGCAGAAAAGCAGTTACATTTTTGTTTTTTAAATAGCAGAAGAGTCTTAAATGTCCATATAATTTTGCATCATCCTGTATTTCATTCTGAAATACTTGAACAAAATTTGATTTTAATCAGCCCAATCTACACAAGTAATAAGATACAAACACAATCTAAACCCTATAACGTACAGAATATGCGCTAATACTCATTAAATGAAGTACAATCAATGAAATTACCGAACAGAAAACACACATAGTATTCTAAATCTTAAATCACTCTAGAGTTGCTAAACAGACACTGTAGGAACAAAATGTGCAAGACAAAAATAAAAATAGAAAAAAAAAAAAAAAACCCCAAAACTTCTCAGCACATTGCGCCCATGAGGATAAAATGTACGGCACTTATGTGATACAATATTTGAACTGTCGACCTAAACTGGGGGTGACTTGAAGACACTAAAGCTATACGAAAAGCAAGATCTAGCCAATTAAAATGTTAAAATGACATTTAATATCTTTCCTTTGTAAAAGCACTAGAAATGTTACAAGTGCAGATAACTGAAACTTTCCCCATTTAATTCACCTCCCTCCAGTTATTATTCTACCTATTATAGTAGTCTGATTTTTAAGGTCTGCATAAACTCTATTATGCTATGGATACAAACCATTTTCTATGTGGTAGCCTTTGTAGAAAAACAACATCGTTATAAATCATAGAATAAACCCCAGCAAACCAAAAATCTTAACATCTCCCAAGCAAGCAAGATATAAATTATACTACAACCTGTCAACTAAAAATCATATCAACAGTAATTACATTTCTATAGAAGCCACCTCCCCAATATAATGAAGCAGTGCAGATATAGGGCTTGGGCTACAGTTAATCACATTTGGTTTCCTTAAAAACGTAACTTTATTCACTATACACAAATAAAAGGCAGTTTTCTTCCTCCATAATGCATGTAGACATTAAATCTAAGGTTTTTAAAATATCAACTACAAGAAAAATACTTTTAAGTGATTAAAAGGAATCAAGATACCAAAGTTTAGTGTGCGAAGAATAGATACAAACAACCAAGAGAAAAAGCAGATCATTGGTGTTGAATTTAACATGAACAGCCCAAGTAAGTTCCAAAGTTTTTCCACCTTTACAAATAAATAAAGGTGTCCTTTCCATAGTTTGGAGTATGATTTATACATCTCTCCCAACAAGTGTATGAGCAAGGTTTTAAAATGTTGCCAATATTAAGTTCTTCAGTACCTAAATTAGAGGACAACAATATTACAACAACAGTGGCAATGGTGCATCACTTCTCACAAGGCAGTTAGGATCCAACACGAGTTGTGGTGGTTCTTTTATCTGAGAAAAAGCTTTTCAGAAGAAACACCTGCCCTATGCTAACCACCAGAAGGATGAGGGCTTCTCCTACTGACCAATAGGCCACTCTTGTATTTAGATCCTCTGCCCGGCTTCGGCCTTGTGCTTCTCTCAATCGGAAATGAGTTTGATAGTCAATGACAGACTTCAGAGCTTCATGAATGGAAACACAGGCAGACTCCATCTGAGGAGAAAATATTTTCAGTTAGTATGTTTAATACTTTCTATACACCCTGTATCTAGCATATTTATCCTAGCTTTCAGTCTGATCTCAATTCCTCCTGGGATTAACATTCTACCAAGGCTAGACATGCCAGCAGGCAGCTGTTTTCCCCAAACTGGGATGTCACAGGCATGGCCTTAGCAAGGTGGAAGACAGAACTCTCAGCTAACGTGGCAGAAATATCAGATAAGGTTGGTAGCTACAGAATTTTATGCACAGGGTCTTTAAAGGAACATTAATAAAGAATGGTAAGTTCATCAATAATGAGTATAAGTCAAAGCCCAAATATCTCAAAAATCAACCAAATATGGCATAAAAAGATCGAGTTAGTCAAAGTTATTTGGAGTATCTTAAACATGGACATAACATCAAAAACTTTAGCTAATTTTTGAATCTGAAAGTAAAAGACCAGAAAGGAATCTTTTCTTTACATTTATCAATTTGCTAAATAATAAATAACTCTCCCTAATACCAGTAACTAAACCACTGTATGTTTCCAGTGGGATACAAGTTTCATTTTCATGATTCAATCAGTCTGTGATTGAATCTGTTAATACCTTATTTTTACACATTTGTTACACCATTTACTTTAAGAAAGGTTGTATCTAATATATTATTAATTTTTAGTTTTTTGAGAAAGGGTCTTGCTGTACAGTTCAGGCTAGCCTTGGAATAACAGCAATTCTCCTGCCTCAGTCTCCTGAGTGCTGGAATTACAGGTGTGTGCCACCATGCCCAGCTGTATCTAACATTTTTTATACAGGGGTTTAATATTTTTTGACTGCTGTATTACTATTTTATTTCACAAACCGTGTATGTATTAATAATTTTAAAAACAAATCTGAGTTTCTCTTTAAGGTATAGATATTAGGAAATAAACATTTAATATGGTTCTAGCACAAAATGAAAGGAATAATTATAAAAATATTAAAGGTGTTTTGTAAAGTGTGAGAAATTATGAGGTCAACAAATTGAACTTATCTATTAGAATACACAAATTTTTTTGTTGTTGTTGAGGCCCCTAAGAACAAAAAGATTGCCAAAACTGTGCTAAAATGAATGATTCTAAGGGGTTAAAGTGCTTCTGAAGTTTCTTTCTTTCCTATGCATTTTCAAAATGACATATGACACAAGGGTTCTTTACCTGTAAAGTACACATAAAAAGATTTTGTTGCCTGTATTCCCACACTATTCCCTATTCTAGGTATTTACTGTAAACTGTAAGCTGCAGCTAGAAACCTGATGAGATTCAGGTGTAACATTCTCTCAGTGGGAAGCCTCAGACCCGGGTTGTGTACTTCTTACGACACAGTGTAACAAGCACATGTCAATTTGTGAGTGAATGATTAGACTTAGATGACACCAGTTTGATCATCCATTAGAAGGTTTTCCACCAGCTTTTCATCAATTTTTCCCCTAATAGCTATCATTCTTATTCCAGATGCATTTTTTTGTAACGGGTAAAAACTAGGGATAGTAAAACTCATTTATTTATTCTCTATTGATTAGCTGGTAATTTTTTCCATTTAAAGTATGAGTAATTGCTTTGTAACTATTTCTACTATATGAGAAACTTATTAGCTTTTTGAAAGTAGAAAACTGACACTAAGAAAAGAGTAAAAATGTCATATGAAAAGCAGGCTACATGATACTGATTGATTCACTGCTAATCATTTTCTATTTGCCCACTTACATTACTTTCTTATACAAGAAAGTTACTTTCTTATACAAGTTAAAATCATTACAGTAGAGAGGCAGGTTAAGTTATAAACAACAGCTCCTAGGCAAATCATTTACAAAGGGAAGTGCCCTTCATATACGATCCTAAAGAGAACGTTTCTAAAACTATTACACTAAGTCTGAACTAGGCTGTTACACATTCTTAAAACTGCTTCTATCACCTAAATGGTTAGCAGAGAAACCAAATGGAGCTGGGAAACACTGAAAATACCAGTTTAAGGTTTTAACAAGTAGATGGTAAATTAACTGCCTTTCTATTTTTGTGGTCATATTGACACCGGTAATTGAACCCAGAGCTCTATGCAAAGCATAGAAGTTGTACCACAACCTCTTTTATTTTTTAATTTTGAGACAAGGTTTTGCTAAATCATGCAGGCTGACCTCAAAAATTGCAATCCTTCTGCCTCAGCCTCCTGAGTAACTTGAGTTACCAGTGTGTAGCAATGAAATAATTTCTTCTGATGTTTTTAAAACTATCTTTCAGATATTGCCTAAGGTCATATCTTATTTGAAGTAGAAATAAAACAACCCCTTAGCATCCGAGCAGTATCCTTTTACTGACTTTAAATTTCTTTTGCTTTTTCTATTATTAACCTTTCTTTAATATAAAACCCAGTTTAGCCTATAAAACTATTTTTGTTAGACGACATCATTAATCTTCAATATTTTACCTACATTACAGCAAAAGCTCTTATAACAATAGCTGAATAACACTAATGGTATAAACAGTGCGGTGTGGGGTATTTATATATTATATGGCATCATTTTGCTCCCAGTTACATCAACCTACTAAGGTATGGTAGCAACATTCCTTCACAGGTTACAGAAAATGTTTTAGAACACTGCAGTAATGCTTAGCCTTCCTGAATTTCCTTTACTACTGATGTTTCTATCTTAGTGAGTCTTATTATTTGACTCTTAAATGTTCCTCAAAGGCCCATATATAAAGGCTTAGCCAGTGCAGGCATTCCCTTGAAGGGGATGTAGGGGTCCAACACTCTCCTTTCTCCTGCTTCCAGGCTGGCATGAGGTAAGCTGCTTTGCTACTCCTTGCTATGATGTTGCTGCTTTGCTATAGGACCAAAAATAAAGAAGCCAGCTAACCATGAACTGGAATCATAAAACCATCAGCTGAAATAAACCCTTCCTCCTTTTAAATTAATTATTATAGGTACTTTGTCATAGCAATGGAAAATTAATAGTGATCTTCCTTTTATTTGAATGCTTTCTTCACACCTAAAAGTACATTCAATCTTTTAACACTGTTTTTTACTATAGAAGTCTGAAGTTCTCTGTGAAATGCCTAATCTACTGAAAAATTAAGACAGAATTTAGACTTCAAAACCTATATTCATCAATGAGTTAATGCGTAATATTAAATTATGTTTATTTCTTTGCTGTAATTATAACAACATTATTTTGCTAACTTTTTATTTACCTGGGTAAGAGCACTGACTCGGTTCTCACTAGGAAACAAAGGTGGGTCTTCTCCAACTTGAAAATCAAAATATACAGTTTTATGTGTGAAAGTAGAAAATTCATTGCTGAAACAAAATTTGTATGTCCCATTTTTGGAAGCTGTGAAGGTAAAACTATCATATTGTTTCTTCATCTCTTTGTATAAAACTTTACCATCAGGATCTTCTAATCGACAGTCTACATCATAGTGACCACCAGTAATCACCTAAAAGAGATTAAGAAAAAAAAGAGATCTTTGCAACTAGTAAGTATGGCAAATCAACCAGTTTCCTATTAAAAAGGCAGTAAGGTTATTGGCAAATGGTTTTCACTATCACATGTAATTTTACATTTGTAAAAAGTTTTCACCAATGGATGACATCTGGGAGGCAGATTTCACTTCAACCAAAGCTTTACAGAAACTGACAAGTTTCCTTATGGAGAGGGAATTTTTACTCATTTCTGAATTCATCTATTCATTTCTGTGCTAGTTAATATAAGACTACTATATCACTTGATTTAAAAGCAAGTGATGAGGAAGAGACATTAGGGTTGAGGGCTCCTAGCTACCATGAGACTAAATGATGCAGCTTTGTTATTTTCGAGCTTCAGTTCTCTTGGTTCACATAATATTGACATTCTCCATCAATAAAACAGAGAGTAAACTCTGGACTTCAAAAAAACATCTGTTACTTATGTGAGCTTTTATCACTCACAAAAGATGATGACTAACCAACTCTGTCACCAGAGCGTTTTGATAATTAAAATGAAATACAACTATGTACTAGAAAGTGTAAAAATACATAGTAATATAAAAAATATTCTGATGTTAAAAAAAGAGGTCTTATCAAATTGGGCATTTACGTCTCCCCCCTAAAATATCACTTTTCCAGTAGAGAAATGACTTTGTTTTGATATACAGAGTTATTCATACTTGGTCACTGTATTTTGAATTATCAAATACATACAAACTGTATAGGATGTATATTCATCATCTCACTTTTCTTCTGTCAAACTTTTAATTTCTTGGTAATACTGGGAATTGAACCCAGGGCCTTTGCACTGCACTACATCCTCAGCTTTTTTATTCCTGTTTTTGGAGAAAAGGTCTCACTAAGTTGCCCAGGCTGGGATTGAACTTTCAATCCTCTTGCCTCACCTTCATCAAACTATTTGAAACAAGTACTCTTATTTGAGTTAATACCTTTTAAACTGTCTGCTCTCCTATGATTACAACTTGGGATCATCCCAAACTTAGTGTCCATACCTATCCAAATGACTACAAAAAGCTTCTATCTTACTACCTCTCTCAAGTTCATCCCATTCCTTCCACCACAAATCCACAACACATTACTGTCACAATTTCTTAAAAGGTCTTCCACAATTTAATCTGCTCTCCTTCTAACCCAGGGTTTCCCAATCTTGGCCCCACTCCCATTTTGAGCTGGCTAATTGTAGCTGTCCTGTGCGTTGTACCACGTACAGCACCTGGTCCCCACATTACCACCTGCCAGCAGAAGCAGTCCCACAACATGCCAAATGTGTGTGTGCTGGAAGGGGACAGCATCCTATCTTTCTTTACTCCCTTCAGTGAGCCCTCATGTAAAACGTTTTGACAATGACAATTCACTGCGGACTACCTAGAAATCCGAACCTGTTAACAGTGGCATACCATTCCACTACACCTCCCATTAAACAGGGTCAGGACCTCGTACGTTCATATTCTCACTCATTCTATGTTCCTAACATGCCAGACTACCAAACTCGTTCTCTGGACAAGTTTTCACTTTACATCTGCACTGACAGTGGCAGTTCAACAGTGTTTGCTTGCTGTAGAAGAATCACAGGATCCCAAACACAGTGCGCACAAATCTAGTTCATTACAGGACGAGAATGTAATTTAAAATATCACTGTCAAGGGCTATTTCACAAGAGGTCTAGAGATGTCAGATGTGGGCTCCTTTCTCTTCCCTCTGGGAGGTCTACAGCCAGACACATTCTCTCACACAAGTGTGCAAAGAACACTGTGAAACCCAAAATAGGGTGTTGCCTAGGTTTTTAAATATTTTGCCAGGCACACAGGTATATTTCTGCTATATACCCAGTCTCAACAGCAGAGCCCTTGGTGGCAGTGGGGTGGTGTGGGAGCGGGCAGTGCTTACTGAGACCAAACCTCACCGCAAATTCTCAGATCTGTAGTCACAAAGCAAAACTATTATTACTCAATATATTTCACAACCATGCACAAACCACAGCAGAAGGGCTCAGGCTAATTTAAGGCCTGCTGGAATGCTCACAAACATACCTGCCTAGGGCTGCCCTTTCCACCTGCTTGGTTATACTGTACAGCAACTCTTATTTATCCTTCCAGACTGCTCATCAGTCTCTCAGCTCGATTTCTCCTCAAGATCCCTCTGTCCTCAGCTAGCCCTATACCTTATTTATATTTTTATCGCTACACTTAACATTAAGACTTGTCAACGAAAACTCCTTAAGGTAAAAATCTTACCTTGGAGAGGTAGAAGAGTTCAACTTGGGACTGTACACTGACTGTTACTTGTAAATTTGCTGATCTTAGGTCTTACCTATCTTACTTGTTTCATCAGTAAAAAACAATAAAAAGTCTTATCCATTTCATATCAGGTTTTCTTGAGAATTAATTAACACATCTGAAACATTTGGCATACTATACACACATAACACGGGCTTTTTTTTTTAAGCTGTGGTAGTATCCTTGACACTCACCACAGCAACTGCACATGTAAGAATTCAAGAAATGTTTATTAAATCAAAATATAGGAAATTCTGGCTTACACTTGATATTCCTGCTATCTTTTTTGTCCCCTGGTCCTAATCCATGAATGTAAGGAGCATAAGGGTCATCCTTAATCTCCCCTTCCTTATCCACCACAGCTGAACTATTACCAAATCCTGTTGACTTTACTACATTCTCTCCAAAACTTTTAACTTTTCTCCTTCCCCACTTCTACGGTCATAGTCTAAACCATTATTTCTTGCCTGGAGTTGACAATGGTGTCCTGCAGTCCAAGTGTATTATGAAACACCTTACCCACCTTTTTTCTACCTTCACACATTACAATCGATAGCCACCAAGACTAGTTCTGGTCATTGCACCAAACTACTTAAAAACCCCAGACGGTGTCCCACACTGAAAGGAAAAACCAAAATCCTTAACATGGCCAGCAAGGCTCTGACAGACTGGCCCCTGCTGACTCCCTTCCTCTGGCTCCTGTTTTCAACCATATCGAACCTCTCCATGGTCCTCAAATTCTTAGTGTTCCCTCCACCCACAGGGCATTCCCCATCTTTTCTACCAAAGTACTTACAACTTATCCTTTAAAGTTCAGCCTAAAATGAGTTTCTAAAAGCCTTCATGGATCCCAAAGACTAGACCGCAAATTCCCTATATATTGCTATTAAAATAGTTTTGATGAATGAGCACAGACTAAAGTGGGTAGTATGCAAGGGAATGAAGAGCTCCAGCAGTGACCTTATCTGTTTGATCACTTCCGGGTCACCAGCACCTAGCGTTCAGCGATTGTTCAATTGCTAAACGGGCCTGCCAACAAAGATGAAAAGAGTAAATACTGTTCTAACCAACTTAAGAAATGACAATCTGTTTAACAAAGCTCCCTTTTTTATAGAACCCTAAAGATAAGAAGTGAGCTCGCATTTACCACAATGTTTCTATAACACCTTTGGCACACGGCAGTTCAGCCTCTAACGGAGTATTTCCAACGACAAGGATTGCATTAACCGACAGTCCTACTACCACTGGAGAAACTGAAACGCAATGGAGTCAAGACAGTGGCAGCCTGCACATCCAATTAAAGTGAAGGTATGCATTACAGAAGGAGAGGACGGGCGCTGGGCATTCCAGAACAGGAACGATCTTTTCTTTTAAGGGAATTTTTCAAGGAGGAAAGTTCAGTAGGCCTTAAATAAAAAATATAAAGGGATGCCACAACTAGTGGGAGCGTTTCTGTAATCCATACAGCGTAACTGATCCTACGTCTCTCGCTCAAGGTTTAGAAAAGGTGGGCGAACGCCCGCACTGACTACACCAGGAGACTCTCGAATTACCATACGAAGGAAGGAACCCCGACACAGAAAAGCCCCGGGAAGGGACAGCCCCGACCCTGGGCGCGGCAGGCTGGGCCGGGCCCGCCGGCCCGCGTACCTGGAACTCGAGGGTGCACTTGGTGCCCTGCGCTATGTCCTCGTAGAAGCACTGCTTGGCGTTGTCGGGCAGCTCGAAGGTGATCTCGGAGGCGCCGCCAGGCCCGGGCGCCAGCAACAGCAGCAGGAGCGC